GGAATTCCAGATTTTTGAGCCTTTCATTTCTACAATATTACTTCTGCTTTTTTTTTTTTTGACTTAACCTTTCTGCGTTCCTTTCCAAAGCTCTAGGGAACAATGTATTTTCTAGTCTTTTCAAACTTGTAAAAGCTGCCTCTATTCCCAGCCTTATAGTCCTGCAGCACTTCGACCTCTGCTTGTGTTGCCATATATAAGGACCCTTATAAATACAGTGGACCCACCCAGATAATTCAGGATAATCTCCCTATCTCAACATCTCAAAATCTCTAACTTATCCACTTCTGCAAAGTCTCTTGCCATGTAAGGTAACATGTTCACAGATTCTGGGGACTGGGATTGAAACATTTTGGGGGCCATTATTCAGGCTCATACATATCTGTTATTCTTTTCTTTCTTTTTTCTTTCTATCTTCTAATTTTTCCCATTAGTCAAAATTTTATTTTTTTCACTTCTCACTCTTCTGCCCAGAGGTTTTACATTTTTGGAACTCTATTTTTTTTAAAAAGAATAGGACAATTTTAATATGCAATGTGTCCTTTTTATTGGGTGGTCTCATCAACTTAGATTTTATCATTATTCTGAAAGTAATCTTTAATATGGTCCTTCACAAACCCATGTTCTCAGTGAGTATCAGATATTGCGCGGGTTCCAAACCACAGGAGTGTCTTTATGGTTCACTTCTCAAATAAAATGAATTTGCAGTGACCCCATCTTTCAATTACCAGATCAAGCTAACAGGGCTAATTACCTATTTCCTGGGAGCAGAAAATTAGAGCCAATTCCTAGGTTCACATTCTTTGCTTCATAACTATTGCACTTTCAGAATTCTCTGCATTGCTGATTTTTGCTAGCCAACCATCTCTGCTTCAGGGTAGAGGTTTTGTTTTAAATCACATCATTATTGATTGTGTATAGTAATTTCCACCTGTTCACTTAAAAAAAAAAAAAATAGAAAGCGGCACAAACAGATCCCCAAGCTCAATTTCCTGGAGAACACCTTCATCACAAATTCCCTCATTTTCTTATGCAAGACATTTACATAAGAACCTTGGGGAATTCTAATGATCTTGGATTTTTTTTAAGCAGAAATTTCGAGGCACAAAATAAATATTTTAAAACTTCCCAGCTGTCAGTAACAGCAGCTTGCTTTCCAGGGAACCTTGAACAAACAGTGTGGTTTGGCTTCATAATTACTTTAACAAAACATCCTAATTAAAAAGGCAATCCATCAGGAATTGGGGTATTTCTCCAAGTTACTGTTCATCTTCACACTGCTTAAGCCAAGCAAAGAAAGCAAGAGGAACTACAGAGGTCACAGAAGGGGGGACAGAGTTGTCTTTAACAATCTGCAAATAGCACTGCCTCTGTTGAGTTGACTTGCAGGCCTAGGATTTACAGTGATGAGTAGATCACTCTCTTGGGGTTCACCAAGTGACTAAAGCGGGGGGAAAAGTTATGCAACACAATGCCATCCAGGGAGTTCTAGTGCTGCACTTCCCTTCCAACAAAGATTTCTTAGGCTACAGCAAAGAATGCCTCCTCTTTCAAATGGTTTCCAAAATGATTGCTTCCTTCCTATCCATAATTTAAAGGAAATCAAAGCAATTCTACATGAAAATTTTTGACTTTGAAATATTTTAGCGCTCAAAACTATCCAACATTAGCCAAGAAAGCTTGCTAGAAGTCAACTATATCTTATTTTATGATTTAAACATTTATGCGAATAAGTTAAAATAAGAATACTTTTAAAGACATTAGCCAAGAAAGCTTGCTAGAAGTCAACTATATCTTATTTTATGATTTAAACATTTATACGAATAAGTTAAAATAAGAAGAATACTTTTAAAATATCCTTTGCTTAATATATATATTACATGAAACATATTTAATATACATGGAAATAGAAGAATTGAGGAGGCTGAGTATTCTTTTGGAGTCACTAGTGACCACTACTGAGCTTGTCCATCTGTCTGAATGTTAATTTCTATCAAGAGTTACACTTGATAGAAATTTTTAATATTTAAATGATGAAATCAAAAGAAGATAACCAGTAAGAAGGAAGGGGAATCAAAATCAGTTTGAGGTAATGTCTCCATGGAAAGTGATCATGGGTCAATAAGTTGAGAAGGTCTTTGGTACCATAAATTTCTTACAGCAAGTGAAACATATCTGTCCCACATTTTTATATAGTTAAATGCCCAGAAACAGCTGTTAGTTTCCACTATGTTTAAACATGAACAACCTCAAATCATGATCTATAATGCTATTATGTACAAGAAGTATCAACTCCACTAGCTTTTTCCTATTAACTTTTTATTTATGTTTTTTCAGACTGCTAATGTGTATGTTATGTCTTAGCAATTATTTAAATGAAGAGATGGAAGAATGAGAAAAGAAGCAATATATGAAATGTGTTGAAATGTATTAAGATAATAATCTGGTAAAGGAGTAACATTTTGATGAATAAGGATGCATTTTACAATAACAGTGGCAGAAATAATTTTCCTAAAGGTATTTTTTTAAGGAATGTTTACTAGGCTATCCCACACACCCTTCTCTGTAGTCCTAGTTGTCAGAAGCCCCTTTCCCTGAAATTTCTAGTTCAAGTACTTCTTATATTCATAGTCTTTTTTTGAATCAGCGCAGCCATTATCTATCTATGCCTGGATAGAGCTGTTCTTATCTTTTTCGTGTTTGTACTTCCTATGACTCAGCACACTATAGGTTCTTAACTACATTTCGTAATAACTGCATTACACGAATAAGAGAAAAAATAAGGAGGAATGCCACATGCCAAAGTGGCACATTAGTAAGCCAAGAGCATGGAAAAGTTCAAACAAATACAATTAAACATTTATCGAGACTCTACTCATGAGCATGGCATCTAAATTATTAATTAAAATAGATGTGTGAATTAGGTTATATTTGGATTGCATGAAAAGCAAATGTGCCATCTAAGGCATCTAAGAAGCTGTGATCTTGCATCTTGGTTCCACTTAGATCGTGAGTCATACACAGTGAGGAGAAAGAACATGTAAGTCAAGTGGAGAGGCCTTTTCATTCTGGATATTTTACAGGAACTTCAGATATATTTGGATTGCATGAAAAGCAAATGTGCCATCTAAGGCATCTAAGAAGCTGTGATCTTGTATCTTGGTTCCACTTAGATCGTGAGTCATACACAGTGAGGAGAAAGAACATGTGAGTCAAGTGGAGAGGCCTTTTCATTCTGGATATTTTACAGGAACTTCAGCACTTCTGTTCCATTTATTTTCACTCCTTCCAATAAGAGATATATCCACTTAGGTCTGAAGAAATACGATCTCATTTCTTAGAATCATTTACCTTGAATTTCTGTCTTCATTGTCACTGGGTCCATTCTATGGGATTAGTGGAGGCTTTGCTCTGATCACCTGCACTGGACCTCAAGTCATGAAACCTCGTCTTGAGTTCCAGCTCCACAATTACTAGCTGACTTGATCAAGTTAGTAAAATTTCCTTAGCTTAAGTGACTCTTCTTTAAAATAAGGCTAATATATACTCCATAGGGTAGATGAGAGAATAAAGAACAAGTATACAAACTCCAATTCTTATTCATCCTTGAAACCTTCCATACATCTGTCTGTATGACCAGTTACCTGTCTATCTACTCAACTATTTATTCCATGTCGAACAATAGCAAACTGCAAATATGCAACTAAGTTTGAAGTATAACAATGACAATTTCCTGTGACAACACCTAAAATGTGTCTTTCTTTGCTATACTTTAAATTCTATCAAAAAAAGAACATGTCTTTCTTCTTTATTATTGTATCCACAGACCTAAGCACAGTGCCTGATGCTTAGTAAGTTTTCTATAAATATTCTTTGGATTAATATGCTGTCACATGGTAGTCATTGTTATTGTGAAAATATCATCTGCTGATTGTTTTATTGTTACCATCATTATTTTTTTTGTCTTTTTTCCATGTCCGGCAATGGATCGCAACCCTCAGTGTCGTCCCCGCACTGGACCGGGACCGGCAACGGGATCGCAACCCTCGGTGTTGCCCCCGCGCCTCGCTCAGCCAGTGAGCGGGAACCGGTTTGTATGTGGGATCCGAACCCTCGGCGGGAGTGCCTCCGCGCTTCCCAAGCGGCGCACTAGCGCAGTGCGCCACCGGGCCGGCCCTTGAATTTTATTTTTTGATTTAATCATGATGTTTTTATTTCAAGAACAATTTCTCATCTGCAAGTTTTGAAGATTCTGCTTATATTTAATTTACATATATATGAATTTCACATGAATTTTATTTTATGCATATGTTTTTTAATTTAGTGTACTGTAATTTTCTTTTTTATTTTATTTTATCAATATATAATGTAGTTGATTTTTGTGTCCCTTAACCAATTCCTCTTTCCCCTTTCCTCTTCCCCTCCTCTGTCAACATCATGTCTGGTTAATATTTCATCCATGAATGTCTCCAGACAATTATCAATTATGCAAAGAAAGTGAGTTGTCCTTTTACCAAGAAAATGTAGTATCAAATATTAATGATGATATCAAAAGCAAATCAAAAAAATATATTGATGTGTTTTAGAAACATCAAAAAAGAGTACAAGAAGCTATGTAATATAATTATATTTCATGATTACTATAGGAAATTGCAGTAATTCTTTCTTGTGAAGAAAATGGTTATAGTCAATTATTCAAAATAAAATAAGTAGAAATACATCTTATTTCATATAATCCTGAAAAAAAGTAACATGTTATGAGGACCATAATTAGTGCGTAATTAACGCTACTCCATTTCTGGAGTAGCAACCTTTTATACGGCATTGTTGAAGAGTATATTTATTAATTTTTTTGGGTGTGTTTCTCTTGTTTTGTATCTGAAGATATAGAAGGAATATATTTCTTCAAGCTTGGAGTTCATTAACTTTTTAAAAGACCCTTTAAAGCTGAGGAAATGAAGATAGAAATCAGAATGGTAGTGACTGGGGAAAGGTCTTACCATCTAGATCATTCTCTGGGGTCTCCGCTGTATACCAGTTGGAAGGTGGTCCAGTACCGTTGACTGTCATGGCTGACACTTGGAAACTGTACTGACTTCCTTTCTCCAGGCCTTTGAAAAAATTTTCCACAGGAAAAAAAACCAGTTACTAAACAGTAAGTATTTCTGGCTGGATTCCAAAATATTTTAGCACAATTTTAACAATAGTTGATGTGCTTTGCATTGTTTATGATTGTTGTGGTAATTATTGTTCCTTTGATCAAAAAACCAGAAGTATCACAGTGAGAAATCAAATTATTTTTTGTATATTCTTATGAATTTTTTCCAGCTTATAAAAATACATCCCTGAAAATAGCTTCAGGGCAGATGTAGAACATAAAATATGAATGATGAAGAAATAATCAAAAATAGCAAGGGCCATTTTTCCTCACTATTCAGAAGAGCCCTGCCTATAAATCAAGAGCAGTCAATCTAAAAATTTATGTCTCCATCAGTCATTCAAGGTCAGTGATTATGTTTTCTTTTGGCCAAGAAAGAAGAATCCAAACCCACTGCACTTCAGCAGAAAATATTAGAGCTTTCGCTTCTTGAAATCGTATTTCTAGCATAGTTTGTGTTATATCAGCTTCCATAACAGAGATGAAGAAAGTCAACCACTATGATAACTGGGACATGCCATCTTGTGTACAGTAATAACATTAGGGCTTGTTTCGGAGAGCACAGAGAATACAGGTAGACTAGAGAAGCCCTGTGGATCATTAGTCTGATAAGAGTAAATAACTTTTCTCTCACCTAAATCTCAAAGTAGATCATTGGCACGATGTTATTGTAAGACAAATAATATTTGTTAAAAAATATCATATAACATTTTTGACACATTGAAAACTCAGCTTAAACTGCCAAAACCTTAAAATTCAAAAGTTGGACAACCCTGATAAAAATAGAAATCGAATGCCTTTTTTCCCCACTAATCTGAAATAGCAAAAAATATTTGCTGCCAAGAAAAATAGTATAAATAAAATAAATCATTGTATAAATGATGCTTATATCATGTGCAAAGTTACAAATTTTTAGATCTTTGTATAGGAAAATAAGTGCGTAGTACTCAGGAATTCCAACTTACTGCTAATAGGAGATTGTGTTTTAGCTGATAAAGTTAGAAAGGACTAGTTAATGTCAAGGGACAGTTGCCTTCAATAAATAGTACTATTAGAGGAGACGATTTGATAAATTCACCCACATAAAGGGATCTATAACACCAAATAGTGTCCTCTGAAGAAGCTTCTAATTTTATAAAATGGACTAGAATTTCCATGAACACATGTACTGAGAATGTTGTTGGTGCTGCTGTCTTTGTTATTACTGGTGTTTTAATTTATGTCCAGAGCGCCCACAACTGTGCCATACACACAAAAAACAGCCCTTGAAAAATCTACTAAAACTAATTGGGAACAGCAGTACTTACCATAAAGGAAATATTAGGTTACAATACAACATTAAATATCATCAAGAAGGTGGCAAAGAAATGCTTTTGAACGTAAGACCTTTGTCATCCCTCGAGTAGACTTGTCCTCACTTCAATTTGTTAACGTGGCATTGATCTGATATTTAACATTTTTCACCCTTTCATAGGCACCGTTGTTGATTACTGAGGCAGAAGAATTACGGAGCTCTTCTGGGAAATTAAAAATTTAATAGGGATAGAACTCTGGGAAGAAACGCTTACCTAATCATTGTAGCTCATGACTTTCATAGTGGTCTTGTCTGAAATAGAGTTTTAATCCATCAAGAATGTACTCTTTGTATTATGTAGAACTTTAACTTAATTTTTCTTCAAAATGAATATTCAATTATGTCAACACTGTCTCCACCAACTGACTTGAAATACCACCTGCAATGGTCAGTTTTAAGTATAACTTGGTGAGGCTACATTATCCAGTTATTCAAACACCAGTTGAGGTGCTGCTGTGAAGGTGCTTTGTGAATGGGGCTAAAATCCTCATTTAGTTGTTTTTTGTTGTTGTTGTTTATTTTTATTTATTTATTTATTTTAACTTTGCAATATACATTGAAGTTGATTTTCATGTCCCTAAGTAGGGGATATTGTTGTATGCAATCTGAATGGGCCAGATTCAACCAGATGAAAGGCCTTAAGAGCAGAGTTAAGGCTCCCTGAAGAAGAAACTTCTCCTGCTCATTTCACTTTCAGTTTGAGAATTCCAGCCTGCCCTTCCTGATGGCCTATCTTGTGGATTTTGGAGTTGCCGAGCCAAGCCAGCTGTAACAATTATTTAAGTCAATTCCTTGCAATAAATCTTGTTTTATGTAACTCCTACTGGATCTCTCTCTCTCTCTCTCTCTCTGGTTGAATTCTAACTGATATACCATTTTATCAAATGCAATATTTTGGACACAGAAATGGAAAATTTTTTGAATGCCCTATATTCTGTTCCAATCATTGTACTTTAAATAAGTGATGATCTATGCAGATAATATATCAGTTTTTCATAGTCATTAGTTAAAATATCTCACTATATAATAGACATGCAAATTTCTCCTTGTAATTTTGCAAAATTTTGATATATATATTTTGAATTTAGGATTTGGCAGAATAATTAATTCAGTTTTGAGTAAAATAAAACATGCTTATGATTCGAAGTTAACATTAAAAAGTAGTTTAAAGACCATGTACTCTTTTATAAGTATTTTCCCAATGAAGTCTTATCTCACCTGGCCAGTCCAAGCTATTTAGCGGAACATCCCTTCCAACCATGTACAGTAGGGAAGATCTTAATATCATCATCTCTGTTACATCTGCAGTGAAGTTTTAACAACCCGTATAGATTAGTCCCCTAGGTCGCTCTGATAATGCTTCCAAGTTTCTTGGAAGTATTATATATTATCCTTAAAAACTCTCTGATTTTGTATTTTATTCTAAAGTATAGCTGAGCTGTGGAATATCTCGCTATAATACAAACACCTATAAATGCTAGGGTAAGTATAAAAAATTAAATATGTATAAAAATACCATTATTAAAGGAAAGTTTAAGTCATGTCTAGTCAAATGGCCCATATAATGCTGATGATTTAACAAAGTAGCCATGTAAATAAAGTAGGAAAAATTCTGGACTGATAAATTCACAAATGGAGGGACCTACTTCCAACAGTTTTTTGCTTGTTAGAAGAGGTTTTCCTTAGATTGAACTGAATTTCCTTAATTATAGCAGATTTACCTACAGATAGACGCTAGTTTCACCCAGCAAGATTAAAAAAAGAATTGAATTCCTCTTTTAGAATGTTTCCCCAAGTCTTTGGATTCCAAATTCAGTGCCTTTTGTATTAAACCTTTATCAGCAAAATTAAAACTGTGACCCTTTTCTATAGCTACATAAGTGTGGGATGTAGTGATAAGCAGAACTGGAAATTCTGGCTTTCCAGAGAGGCAGTTTGGACATTAGCTTCATAATTCTAGGTTGCAGACATTTCTGCTTGTATGCTGTGAGGCGTTTCCCAACTCAGTTGGGAAAGTTTTAGTTATACCAAAAGCTCTTTTAATTTCAATTTCCCATCTAAAGTGATTGGGCAATAATAAATGCTTCCACTTTATAATGTTGAGGATCAAATAACAAGCTGCTTGCAAAAGTAATTTATAAATTAAGCATTTAATAGATGTAAAAATAGCTAACATTTTATAGTGATTTGAGGGTTATTTTCTTACTCAATTTTCAAATACCATGATTTTGGCACAGAATACATTGTTAATACCATTTTAGAGGCAAAGATAATATGGCTCAGAGAAATTAAGCAAGGGTACTGTGTGGTGTTTTAATCAGAACGTGGACTGCCCTTGGATGAAGAATCTGGGCTCTGTCCTATCCCATGCAGTCCTCTTCAAAGGCCCAGGTGGCCTAACCTGGGACCCAAGAGGAATTATCAGCAACAAATGCAAAGCACTATACAAATATACAAGGAATGTCTGTTTATAATGGTTATGTCCAGAACTGAGTAACAGGCAGGCAGGAGAGAACAGATGATTCCATTATTTTAACAGTGGATCAACCTAAGAGATCAATAACACCCTAACATTTAGTTGAAAGGGTTAAATCGTTCTCTTGCTTAGAAAAAATGTTACCCTGTTAGAAAGAGGAGGTGTCTTCAAGAGTTATACCAACTATCACCATGACTGAGCAATTTTGGGGATCACTGAACTCTGATAGGTGATACCAAAAGATTTTTCAGTACTTCTTTTATTCATTCATTCATTTATTCATTCACTGGGGGTGGATTGCTTAGAAAAAATGTTACCCTGTTAGAAAGAGGAGGTGTCTTCAAGAGTTATACCAACTAGCACCATGACTGAGTAATTTTGGGGATCACTGAACTCTGATAGGTGATACCAAAAGATTTTTCAGTACTTCTTTTATTCATTCATTCATTTATTCATTCACTGGGGGTGGGGTAAAGGGAAGCCAATCTATAATTAAATGCTTCTTTGTGTGTGTTATAGCCATTGTTCCAGATGTGTTTCCTGAACTATGGTAGTGGGAATATTAAATAACATTTGTAAAATAAATTGGTCAGAAAAGATTTGATTTATTTTTTTTTTTATTTGGGGATCACTGAACTCTGATAGGTGATACCAAAAGATTTTTCAGTACTTCTTTTATTCATTCATTCATTTATTCATTCACTGGGGGTGGAGTAAAGGGAAGCCAATCTATAATTAAATGCTTCTTTGTGTGTGTTATAGCCATTGTTCCAGATGTGTTTCCTGAACTATGGTAGTGGGAATATTAAATAACATTTGTAAAATAAATTGGTCAGAAAAGATTTGATTTAATCTCTTCTGGAGTTACTCAGCTTCTTTTGCTGCAAAAGTAATCTTCAATTTTTTATTACTCAATAAACATCTCTTGCCATCTCTACATTTTTCCATTATCCCTTTATACATGTATACAATCACACATTCATTGCCTGTAATAAGCAACACATCATGTACAGTTTAAGAGTTAAGTGTAGGTTTTCAATTCAGGCAGAATTAAGTCTGATTTTTTTGTTCCACAACTTATGAGCTGTGTGACCTTAAAAAACTTGCTAGTCCTCTCTCTTTG